ACATCACTCTTTGATTCTCTGCTTAATACACATCAAACCATATCTTCAAAATAAGATATCCCTTGTTTTAGTTGAAAAAAGGAAATTTAGTGTCAGAGAGACTTTTAAAATGGCTTCTTCGAAATTATTGGTTGCATTCGCTCTCGTGGTGACAATGTCCATCTCGTATGACCTGATCATGGGTATGTCTCTCTATACGTAAACGACTATATTGCGATCACATAATCTTATGGATTTTTTTTGTTAGCCTTTTTTTTGCTTAATCCTAATGATACATGATTGTAGCCGTAGGAACAGGAATATATGAGAGAATTGTGCCTCCGACTTGTTACGAGGGTTGTAACGCGACGTTTCAAGCTCCAGAATGTAACAAATTTTGTGTTGGATTGGCTTATAAAAATGGTAGCTGCATTGATCCTGAAGGTTCCCCTCCTAAACCTTATTATCGTTGTTGTTGTAACCCTATAATTCTTACACCTCCTTCTCTTTGATCAATATATTCCTCTTTTTAGAGAAAAAAATATATGATATTGACAAAAAATAATCTATGACAAAAACAATTAAAATAAATAAAGAATCTTTTCGAGAGAGGATCATATAAATTTTTATATCTTTATTATATATTTTCTTTTTGTCACAAGCGTACTTCCTTATATATCGACTAATTATAAAAATAAATTTTCCATTTGTCTTTCATGTATTTTCTTTCTATATGATCATTCTAATTGCCATTATATAACTTTTTTTTAACATCGCCAGTATATAACAAAATAAGCACTTATCATTATATAAACTAGATGAACACCCGCGCTACGCCGCAAACTCTTTGTATAACAAAAATTCACTGTTTTACTAAAGTACACCATATGCTGATAACAAATTCAGTCTAGACCAACAAAAAAACTCCAACGTATGTTAAAAGTTATAAAAACACTATTAAATGTCTCTCGACCCGAAAATATGTATTGCATCTTAGTATCATAACACTTATCATTTCTATTAATAATAACCACCAATTAGGAGATAGCTTTCTTGACAATAATTATTTTTCTTTCCGAAAAGAATAGTGCTAAAATATTAAAAAGTAGAAGATTGAAGCAAATTATGCCAATTCCATTGATCAAATTAAATGCATTGTTTCCTGTGTCGATCAACCGTGGACATATGAGATTGGATGCGGCTGAACATATGAGATTGGATACAAAACAATTAATATGTCAATTGAAGATAAATAAACAGACCGTATATATTTTGGTGTAAGAGATATGTAGTTCTATTCTCCCATGATAACTTGTACGATAGTATAATAAATTCGAGATAAATAACATTTGAAATAAATCAAGTAATTTAAATGATAGATAATTTTAAATCATGAAAATGCATTATCTAACTTTCTCAGCTTCTCTTCTCCCTTTTGATTGAGGATATAGATGTTGCAAGCTTTCTCACTGTTTTCTAAGGTGCAACAATTTGTCATATATGACATGTTTTTTGACCCAATAAAAACAAAAAAAAGGCATGTAATAAGAAGAAAGATTATAAAAGAATAAAAAAAATCAGAAGATTAATTTTTTTTTTTTGTAGAAACATGTTTAAGCATTCTATAAATCATGCACACGAAGTTTCTGCTAAACAAAGCAAGTGTCAGTAAACTTTTTTTTAAAATCATCTAGGAGGTTTTACTAAGACATGAAGTCTAGAAACATAACAAAAGTTTAATAAAACAGAGCTAAACATATTGAACCCGACAAACCAACATTGAATCCCAATGACAAGGATTCATGGATGCTTATAATACTTATTATGGAGAAAATATATATGCAAATATTGAAGGCGTGATTATATAAATATATATAGAACATGGAATTTGATTAATGAGCAATAAGATTGTACTTACTTTTAGTTTTTTCTTGCACAATAGATAAGTCCAGGCCATCTTTGGGATTGCAAAACTTTTGTAAAAAAAAATGTAAGTACTAATATGCATCAAGATATTTTTAAACATGACCTGTAAGTAATCATAGCACAAAAAAACAATTTGACCTGGTTAGAAAGTGAAGCTCTAATTCCATTGCTCTGGTTGCAACGAAAGCTTCAATCACATGCATACATAAAACAAAGACTTATAATTTTCTGTAAAACAGTCTCTCACAGTAGTTAACATATAACTCAATAATATAAGCTTCTTACATGGATTTCTTTTATGAAAGGTGGAAAAATTGCACTTAATTTAGACGTTTTGTTTTTGGTCCTCACGTGTTTTGCCATGTCAAAAGAGTTACAATTGATTTTGGAGAACTATGTCAATCGCGCTTCACATAACATACTCGCATTGTGACGCAACAAAGGATCTTATGGAGCAAATGCAAACACGTTGGTTCCGGGGGAGGAGGTAAATTCGAGTTGGATCGAGTACTCTGAGATCGGCCCTAAGAAACATAAGAAGTTGGATGACGAAGGAAGGAGATTCCAAGAGTGAACCGAGTGGTAAGATAATGAAACGGCCATTTCTGATGTGAACAGTGAACACCGCAGCTACACAAAAGATTTATACATGAATTATGCAGTTAATGAATGTCAAATTCTTTCTCACTTGCTTACATGCTCTACCATAAACCGATTCAATGAGAGAAATTTGAAAGACTTGGTGTACAAAATAAGATGAGAGATTGAGAGAATCGAGAGATTAACCAGTGCTTTGGAAATTATAGTTGTAGCTATTAATTTTATTTTGACCTAATAAATACTATGAAAATATAGGAGACGAGAAGTCTAAAAAAGAGGAGGTGCAAACCTACGTGTAAAATTTTAAATGACATGTTAAANTGAAATGTTTTTATTGGTGTATCATAATCTGATGTGTCGACCTCTTATAATACATAAAAGATGATGTATCCTTGTATGGAGAGGCACTTGTGTCTTTATAGTATTGATTTGATACAATTGTAAAACAATTGAACAACTATTCTCATTTTGCAAGATCAACTCTGATCAGGACATAAATGCAAAAAAAAGAAGCTTCAATGTATTTAACAATATTATACAGAATTCCTAGATTTTGAATGATGACCACTAAAAAGAATGGAAAAATGAAGAACATTATATTCCTTTTCATTTCAAAAGAATTACATCATTCATATATTTGGGACATATGATCCTNCATTCTTCCCCATTCTTTATTTTTGGAGAATTACAGAACAAAACCACTTTTCATAAATATAGGAAGGAACAAGAATAAACTACTATATATAAAAATTAAATA